AAAAATTCTATGCACAGAGGTTCATTCCTTCTTTCATTTCCTCCGAGTATCTCAAACCTTAGGAGATACACCACAGCCCCTGATTCAAGCCGAACCAGGCTGTCTCCTCTTCATACCGACCTGCAGTCCGAGGGGCTTCCTCAAGAAACCCTCTCTCGTCTCCATAGGACCCTCCTGCTGCATCTCGAACTCGAAGAGGCGGAACACCGTACCGCAGATAACCAGGAGTTCCATCTCCGCGACGTTGCGACCGACACAGGCTCTGGGGCCCGTGCTGAAGGGAATGAAAGCGGCCTTCTGGCGGGGGGTAAGGCGGGCGGGGTCCCAGCGCTCAGGGACGAATTGCTCGGCATCGGGACCCCAGATCTCCTTGGAGCGGTGGATGGTGTAGCTGGGCACGGAGACAACGTCGCCGGGGTAGAAGGTGTGGCCGGAGATGGTGACGGGGGGGTTACCAGCGGGGATTTCACGGGGGAGACCCATGGCGGAGGTGCTGTGGATACGCATGGTTTCCCAGATGACCCATTGGAGGTAGGGGATATCCTTGACCATGGCGTGGGTGGGGACGTCGACGTCTTGAGGGATGGCTTCGTCCAGGACCTTGTGGAGTTTCTCGATCACACCGGGGGTGCGCATGCACCAGTAGAGGATGGCGCAGGAGGTGTTGGAGGTGGTGTCGGATCCGGCGATGAGTTGGGTCAATGCCTCGGCGGTGAGCTCGGCGCGACCCAGCTTCTCGCCGTTGCTATCCTTGCCTTCCATGAGACGGGCGAGCAGGTCGACACGGGTGTTGTTGGCCATGACTTCGGGGCGGAGACGTTCGTTGACGCGGGCGACGGCAATACCAGCCAGGTCCTCGACGGCTTGGATACCATCACGGAAGAAACTGTCGGGGAGATACTTGGCAAAGGGCTTCAAGGCCGGGTAGCAGCCCAGGGTGGCGGAGACTTCACCGCGGCGGTTGAGGACCTCGACGGCTTGGACGTAGGAAGGAGGCGAGTCGGGAGTCTTGCGCATCTCGGCGAAGTCCTTGCCCTTGTCAAGCATGCCGAAGGGAGCGCCAAAGGCCAGGTCACCGATGATGTCAAAAGCCAAGTAGTTGAACCAGTTCAGGGCGTCCAGGCTGGCGAACCCAGTCTTGGGGTTGCGCTGGGTATCCGCCATGCGGTTCCATTGCTTGACGAAGAGCTCGATGTTGCCGTGAATGTACTGCTCAAACTGACCGATAGACTTCATACTGAAGGTGTGAGACACGGTCTTGCGCTTGCGGGTGTGCTCCGCGCGGTCGCGCGTGTTGAAGAGACCACGGTGAATGGAGACAAAGGCATCGTAGAAGTCACTGAACAAGAGTAGATTAGCTTCCGGGGGATAATTCTACCTGCCAGGAGCAGATAAATACAAGAGGCGAGGGGCACGTACGACTTCAGGAAGCCATTTCCGTGGCCGTAGACAGCCTGAATGGCGCCATCATCGGCGATGGAGGTGTGACGAGGGGCGATGCGAACGAGCTTTCCATATTTCTTGTGAGCGTTGTCGACGACGACAAAACGGTGACCGCGACGAGTTTGCAGGAGCAGCCAGAAGTTGGTGAAGGCGGCCAGACCGGGGGCGGGGATATCGCGGAGGTGAGCGCGCTTTAGGTAAGGAAGGAGATAGTAGAGGACTAGCAGGGCTAGACCCAGATAGGCCCCGTAAGGTGACAGGAGCAGGGCGAGCATGATTGTTTTTGTGGGGGGAGGGGAGGAAGCTGGTGAGTTCGGAAGTTAACACCGGCAAATGCAGCCAGGAGAAGCAATTCCGCAGCCGCCAAGTGCAGCCGGGAATGTGGGTGCCAAGGAGACCATCTTACCTCCGAAATGAAATAAGCAACTATAAGGTAATATATCGAAAAAGGATGGCTGAAGAAGAAAATAATATCAGTCACAGTCACACTTACTTCACTCAAGTATCGCCATGGGTGAAGAGTGTTTCTTGTCGAGAAAGTGGTTGATCTGTCATCTCCCTTTTTTTTGAGTTGAAGTGCAGGCTTATTTATGGCAGACGGGCTCCTCTCGAACCCCGAGGCAAAGCCAGGCAACGGAAGGGAAAATCGGGAGTCTCTGCTGAGCCGCGACTGATCTGCCAGCCGATTTGCAGCGCCGGCCTCTTTGCCCTCCCCCGCCTCTGCTCGGTTGTTCGTGTACGTCCCGTGGGGTTGGAGGGAGATCCTCACCCAAAGGGTCCATACTTTGAACGGCTCCATGGCTATCGACAGCATACAGCCAGTGAGAGCATCGCGAATGGTCAACGGCGGTGGTTTCTATTGATCTCGTGACTCCGGGGAGGCGAGAGTTACGGAAGCATAAAGGCAATTGATCTCCATGACTAATGATGTTATGTACACAAATCGTAACTTGTGACTAGTTACAGCACCAACTCCTTACTTACTCTATTAGGCAACATGTTCCGACCCGTCTTTCGCAATCCTTCTGATCCTGCTGATCCTTGTGTTCCAGCAGTACTTTGGACGTTGGTAGAGCCGTCTATCTATCCCCTACCAGCTATTCCCCTCCACGCGGTACAACCCATTCTTCCGCTTCTCCGCCTCCCATCGCTCAATCCACGCCTTCATGCGCTCCCGACTTTTCCGGCTACCTACGTTCACTGTCGGGATCACCCGTCCGATCCGGAGTGCGCAGCAGAACATGCTCAACTCCCGAAATGAGCTGTGCTCACTGTACGGCACTCCAAAGCATGCGCTTTCCCGCGTACTCCCTCGCTGTGGCACCAGGTCTTTCGCAGAAAAGGGCGTCTTCCAATGTGCCGAATTGAGCACCACCGACACCGGTGGGTTGTCCAGCATTCGGCCAGCTGGCGGGCGATACGTCCACCCGGTTGGTCGAAATCCCACCACCCGCGTGAAGTGCGGCTTCATCGAGTCCAGGTAATCCGCCAGCGTTTCCGCCCGGATCTCGAATAGCGTTTGCATATGCACCTGCGCCTCCGTGGGATCGTCTGTCAGCAGCGATGACAGCTCAGCATCCTCGAGGCACGCACAGACGCGCTGCTTAGCTGGCGTCGCGTAGATCTTGCTCTTCAATGCCCGTGCGATCCCCAGACAGATGCGTTCTTTGCCGATGCTGTACGTCCCTATTACTACCAATAGCCGGCCAGGGGGGCGGCTGTCTTGCGTCGGAGACGGGCGGGATCCAGTCACAGCCGTAACAAACTTGCTCAGCATTCCGCTTTTTCCATTGACTGGTCGTCCAAACGCTCGTCCATTGGTGTCGTTGGCGTCCCCATCGAGCTCAACGCAAAGTTCTGCGCAGGCTTGTATGACATCTTCTTGGCCAGGGAATGCATACTTGGGGCTCAAATATGTAGTGTCCAGATAGCAGGCATCGATTCGTTGCTGGCGAGCCTTGCCGGTTGCGGGGTCAGCAATCTCCGGGCGGAGAAGGGCATGTTGCACATGAAGCGGCGAGGCGCGAAAGTCACCACAGTGGAGGACACGATGTGTTCTCTGCGAGGGACCCGATCCCATTGATTTCTCGAAGAGAAAGATGGCGCTCCCAGGACAATGATTAGCCTCGATCAAAGTCACCTGCGCTCCTCCTGTATCCGGGATTTCCGTCTTCCGCTCGAACTCAAGTGGTACAAGCCACTTCCGGTCGACCTTCAGTTGCTGGCACACCAAGTTGGCCGTAGGTCTGCTGCAGTAGATTGGTCCATGGCGCCACGACCCCGTCAGGCCGATGTAATGGTCGCTGTGGAAGTGACTAAGGAAGTACGCATTACATCCCTCTACGGCTCCGTATCGAAATGCATCCACACAGAGGGAGAATCCAGGGATGATCTTGTAGAACGGACACGTCCGTTGATACGCCTGTTTGCCACGGGACGCAACCTCGTTCGCCGCCGCTGCACTCCATGCTGTATCTTCCGCGTTGCCGGCCATGAGCTTCGAAAAAGCCGACCTCGTCCCTGCGACCCCAGAGGCATATGGGTCACGCTGCGCTGGTCTCGCAATAGCAGCCCTGTCCGCAAGGCCCATTCCTTTCGTAGTCTTTAGCTCCGGTCCCGGCTCCGGGTCCGGGTCTGCCTCCGCCTCTGGCTCGTGTTTCAGCAACTCCGTAGGCTTCCCATCAAGACAGTCATTGACATGTACCGAGACATCCTAGAACAACCATTACCACCAGCACCAAAGACACAATCCTCACAACTTACCGTCTCGGACAAGCCTGTCAAAACAGCCTGACATACGGGACACACCGGCGCTTCGCATCCAAAATCTTCACCCAAAACCCCGCTATCATCAAATCCAATATCACCCTTGTAATCCTCATCGTCGTCAAATGCACCTAAGAAGTCTTCTTCCCCTCGAAACTCGTCCTCTTCTAGATCGTCAAAATTCGCGTAATCATCATCGGCGTGGCTCGTGGCTTCTCTTACCGGTGGTGTGTCGACATCGACTGCGGGGGTCCGGGTTTCATCCGCCGAGTTTGTCTTCTCATCCAATACCCCGGTCTCATTCTCAGTCCCATTCTCGTATTCCCTGAACTGCTCAAGATCCTCGCTCTCACTATCCGACTCATCAATGAACGGTCCACTGACTGATCGAGACGGCTTCGGCTTTGACTTCTCCTCAGTGCCACTCTCACTCTCCGTCTTCCTCTTCTTATCCTCCCCACTCCCATTATCAATGTCATCTTCCAGCGCAATAGCTTCCCCAACCCTCCTCTTCTTCACACTGCCCCCATTCTCCTGGAACCGTTCTTCTTCTTCTCCTTCTTCCTCCCAAATATCCTCCGGTGTCTTTTCCCTGACATAGTCCCCTCCACTCGTAAGACTAACCACCTTCTTGGCATCCTCCAAAAACAAACCCCCGGCACCAGCAGCCCCATTCCCACCCCTCACCCCCGAGGAGCCCTCATTACCAGTATTACTTCTCTCCGCCTTCGTCGCGAATTGCGTAATCCGCGATTGCCGGGACGTAGCTTTCGGCGGGCCGTCCGCCTTCTGAAAGAAACTGAGAAGACTGGTATTGCGTTTCGTAGCTTTCGACTTCGCGGGTGTTGCGCGGGACGGCGTAGAGGGCTTTCTAGGAGGGAACGGCGTAGGCATTGCTCAGGCTTTGTGATCGTGTGCTTCGATCTTTATCGCGTAGTTGAGTGGCGGGCCGGCGGGCGGATGAATTATGCGGTAGGTATAGGAAATGTATGCCGGAATGTGAGCGTCAAAGCATGGTCATTTGAATTTCAGCCGTGAATGTAGTGTATTAGAAATGTATTATAACTGTACAGATGGTGGTCTTGTTGAACTGAGAAACGCGGAGGGTAGAATTCGAGGCAGTCGGACTGGTCGAATATCCAGAGCGGCGAAAAGAGATAAGCGGGCGCGGGCGCGGCGGAGACTCGATTTTCGCGACACGAAGTCAGGTGATCTGTCCACCCTTTTGGTTTCCATTTGCGGTTCGTACTGCGGAGTTAGAGCACCGAGAGTACGAATCGGGGTATGTTGGTAAATGGGCTTTGTTATTTATATTTCATTCGTCTTTATACTACTACTGAGTAGGTAGGTACTGGGTAGTACTATCTGCAGACTCTGTCTAGACACATAACTCACGCCTTTACCCAATAATCTCGTAGCCAGTATTCGTCCTCTCAACTACATATACATCTTCCGAAGAGATGTAACATGCAGGTATACCTATTGTCATCGTCATCATAACAGCTGCAGCTCCGACCAAAACCATTCCAGCCCCATCATGGGAGGTGAACAGCCAGTCCGATGCTTTCCATCCACGTAAATCCGCTCTCCTTTTTTTCTTTCTCGCTCTCTCTTTCTCCACGCCATGTTTAGCCATGGATATCAGCAACATAAATAAAAGTGAACCCGCATGACAACGACAAACATCATCACATCGTGAAGATTAAATCTGCAATGGAAAAAAAGAAGGAAATGAGAAAAGAAAAATACATAATAGAAAAAAGAAATAGTCAATCCCATCCGTAGAAAACCCTGATCAACCAGCCATCAAAGCAACAATCTATCAATCAATTCGTAAATCACCGAGCTTTCCCAGCCTGGTTCGCAGCTTCTATATATACCAAACCAATCATTAGCAATTTATACAACCAAACACACACATACAGAAACATCTAAGCATGTTCCTTCAATTAGATCAAGGGGACAGGGATGAAGAAACATACCTCTCCTCGTCGCATCCTCCAAAAGCCCAATGTCCACCTCCGACCTCGGCAGCATAACATACCGCACCACACTACCACGAATAAACATATTCTTTACGGACGACAAGTGCGGGTATTTATCCAGATCCAGGACGTCCACATCGTCCAGCTTAATGTTCAGGTACTGGTCGACGGATTTGAGGGTGCCGCGGATGCGAATGTCGTTCTTGAGTTCGATGGTCACCGTTTGGTTGGTTAGGGTCTTGAAGAAGCTGCCAAATAGTCATCCCCGTAGGGAGGGGGAGTTAGCTGTGGTCGCTTTGGTGCTTGTTTGAGGATCTCGCGCGCTTTCTTACCTGAAGAAGAGCATGGTTGCGGTGCGAGGTGGGGGAAGATTGGGGGGGTATTAGTGCTGTTATGGGTGTGGTATTGTTGGTGAATAGACTAGTAGCGCATTGGCTGTCCGAAAGTCGGCAAGGGAGTATCGATTGCCTCGGTTCCGTGTGGGTTAGGTGGTGGAAGACGTGAAGACGAGGAATATGCGATGATCTGGAGCCGCGGGTATGATGCTGCGGTTTGGTGTTGAGCATTGTGATGGGTCACGTGATGCGGGTGTCAGCTATGCTGGGTAATTAACTATGACATTCAATTGTGGAATCAACATTGGATTGATTTTCTTATTGTAGTGTGATTCGCAGCATGCTTACAGTTTTCATTCTTTGGAAGATCAGCTAAAGCCTTGGTTCGAAGCATGTGAGGTTTGGACAGCAGATTGGCGGCTCCTGTCCAGTATTGGTCATTAAGCGAATACCATGAGACCTGCAGGCCAGCCATACTTCCATTGTGTAATATTGTCAACTAGTATAGCTACAAAGAGGCGTGCACTACTGATTGTGCATGGGTATCAAGTGAGTGTCATTGCTAGCAGCTATCCACCCTGGCTTCCACTGGTCCTCAATCTGCATTCATCATCTCTCATTCCGCATAAACAAAGGGGTATTTGAAAAGAGCGATAAGAAAGACACGACTCCCGCGATTACATTATATGTGCCACCAGGGCAACTTAAGGTTCATATTATAGGCAAAGAAACTTCAACGTAAAAAAGAGAAGTGAGATCGGAGGGAGAAGCACGGCTCAGCCCTTGCTAGATTTCCGTCCATGACGCTTCTTCTTCTTCGGTCTCGGTTTCATTGCCCACCCCGACAAGCAGGTCCAGCCTGCACCGTTCTTGCGTCCTTCATCAAAGACAGTTCCAATGCCTGCCAGCAGGTCTTGTTGGTTCAGTCCTAGTTCCGTTTGAAGCTTCACAAGCCATTGCTCCCAGATCCAGCCACCGAGCACCCCCGTAACACTGGCAATATCAGCTGTACTTCCGACTGGGCCGTGGACCGCTTCACATTCTTCGATGAGGCTCTTTACCCTCGGATCGGGGGTCTCTCTAGGTGGTTCAGACTTGACCGGCTCAGTACCCATGGGTAGGAACATCCAGGCTCGTTTGACATCCGCAAAGTTCCTCTGCAAGCGACTGAGAAAGCCTTTGGTCGGTGTCGGGTCGTAACCCAGAGCCTTGAGACCGGACGCAAATTCAGCTGATCTGGCAGATGCCTGCGGGCCAGCGCGTGTTATTTCTGCATCCATGACAAAGAATTCCAAGTAACCACCTGGCTTGAGACAGCGTCGGCACTCTTTCAGACACAGGTCATACTGGTCCTGTGTCTCCCCGGTCGGACATTCCTTCTTTAGCAAAGCAGGAAGAGAGCGGGCCGAGATTACATCAAGCTTATTGTCGGCGAACGGCAGTTTCCACAGTTGGGATACAGGAAGGTGCCGGTGGTTGGGAGGCCCTTTGATGCCTGGGTTGACCGCCTGATGCTCAGTAAAGACCGTATAGACTTTCACATGAGGGTACTCGTGAGCTAGTTGCCAAGCCCATTCGCACGAGGCGTGTCCGCCGAGATCGAGGATCCTTAGTTGACGGGGTGCCCTTTTACGCGAGCCCAGCTGCTTCAGAGCAGGGCTTACAATCAGGCTACCCCCGTTGATATATCTCAGAGCATCCATGGCCCACATTGGTTGACGAATTTGAGATAGCACAGTCTGCTCTTTCTCAACTATGGAGAACTGGGCCTTCTCTGCCAAAGCCGAGTCCATGGTTGAGTTGCGAGGCGCCAACGAAAAGGGCCCCTTGTAGGCCGGACGTTCCGGACGAGCAATTTCATAGTTTCCACGCAAACGCTTGATATGCGCGTCCGTCAAGCCCAGTCGAACAGATTGAACGGCATCAAATCTCGTGTTTCGATGCACAAAGGTATCTCGACTGCCGGACTGCTGCTGGACCGCCTTGAATCCGCGCCAGTAAATGGAGTCTCTACTCGCCATTAACGAGGGGCGGGAGCTAGGCGGTTCTGGAAGCGCTTTGGCAAGCCGAACAGACTGCTTCCGGCTTAGCTGATTAGGTGGTTGTCGATCGGTGTTGCCCTGACCTTCACCGTTGTAAGGACCTTCGTCCAGCAGATTCACGGGATTGGTCTCATTGAGAGCTGAAAGGTAAGACGCCTGGGCTGCCAGCCAATCGCTGGTCCGGTCCAGCCCCGACATCGCTTTCTGCTTTAATTCGCTCTCGTAGTCCTCGTCTCGTTCGTATTGATCGTCCGGGCCGATGGGTGCAATAGCATCGTCCATAGCGTCATCCTCAGAGCATGCTTGATCATCGAAGTGATCAGATAACCTGGGTGTCTTTTCCTCCGGGATCCTGATGGCAGTGGGTGGTCCGACGGGGTCATACACGGCCGTCAGCTGTTCTTCTGTCGTCCGTTCGGGGTAGTCTATTACATGCTCCACGACCTCTCCCTCGGTCCGGGAGAACGGTAGCTTGTAGAAGCCCTCGGCAGTGGCAGAATTCGGTGGCTTATTTCCACAGGGAATAGACCAGGTGTGGCGTGCTCGTGGACCCAGTGAAGCAAAAAAGCCACCGGGTGAGGGTATGCTCAGCCTGCTGAAACTATACCCTGAGAGTTCCGACGCCGGGGTGGCGTCGTCCGCACTCCGGGGGCGCTCTGGAGGCATACGGATTTGCCACATCTCTTCGTTAGACTCTGAAGTTTCCGACCAGGGATCTGGGGTACCATCGAGTGAGATGTGCCTCAGTGTCTCCAAGGCATCTGCAGGAAGAGATACGCCTCGATCAGACGGTGTGTCTCCCCTTACTGGCTCAGCATCCAAGTCAATCGACGATGCGGTTGATTGACCGCCTGGGATCCGTGGAAACCTGCCTAGGACCTGCCGCCAGTCCTCATTGGCGCTTTCGATAGCAATCTGAATGCTTTGGGTATCCGGGTCCGCTTCAAGCTCTTCGTCCTGGGAATCTTCTAATTCGTGACGAACATGCACGTCCTGCGCAGTCCAATCATTGTCTGGAAGGGATTGCAGGTCTGGAGTTGCTGGAGCACTGATGTTCGACACCTGGTCCGAGGAGACACTGCCATCCAAGGACGGCGGCGCATGCACGGCCGGCACCGAATGGGCAAGCATAGAGAGGGCGGCGGGAGATACAGGAATCTTTGGCGGCGGAGTTGGTGGGATCGGGGAGCTCTTTGCAGCACCGTGCAGCGATGGCCACATTGTGGATGATGGTATCGTGAGGCTCGGGTACCGACTGCGGGAGACGGGGGAGAAGACTGAAGTACGCGTCGTGGGTGTCACCAAGCTTGTTGGCCGGGTGCTAGCGAAGGAAGTGCACTCGTCACTGATGTCCGAATCATCGTCGGTTGCATCGTATAGGTCTTCGAACGGTTGCATCTGACGCTGCCATTCAGTGTCCGAACAAGAGGAGACCGAGCCTGCAGATATTGGCGAAAAGAAACGATTCAGTCGAGATGACACCGATGAGAGCCCACTAGTCTTGAGCTTCAATTGGGGTGGCTGTGGAGGTTGCGGTGCCTTTGGTGGTGTCTGCTTGGTGCTGGAGGCAACAGGCCCTGTAGAGTCGGCATACTGCGCCTCGCGCGCGTCCTCCTCTATCGTATCAAGCCTCGTTCCTCGCACCTGTCGCAGAGGTGGGCATCTGCCCGTTGCGGGACGGTATACGTCCGTCATGATGCCCAAATGTGCCCGATGCTAGTTTTATTTTCCTTCAATTACGATATGGGATGCAAAATATGATGCAGAAGTCGAACCAAACAATGTAAATCCGACAAAGCAGCCAGAGGATCTCGATCACAGTCGACACCGATCAACGGATCAACAATATCAGAGAATTAGCAGAACGAATGATTACCCAGCTACCAGAGCTGAGGGCACGATAACTTGACAGAAACACAAAACACAAAGAAAAAGGTGGTGAAGACGACCGAGATGGGGTAAGGTGAAGATCACCTTTGGTGACCGGTAGCGCTTGCTCTACTAATAAACCGCTGGAAAGAGGGGAAGGGAGGGAGATCTGAAGGGAACACCCTCCCACCATCACCAGACCTGCAGGAACTACTGCAACATTGCGCACAAAGCACCCGTAATCCCTGTAACTGGACAGGCTGAAGATGCTATCATTGGTGGTGGGATGGCGGGCGCTTCGGCCACGACGAATCCGAGCAGTCGGCCAGCCATGATGGGCGACAACGGACGGACTCGGGAGGCAAGCGTACCAATCACCGTGGGGGGAAGATCTTTTTGTCTGCAAAGAACCGCCCTCCAGCCAGACATTGAAGCTGTGTGTGATTGGGGAGGTGTTCGTGTGATTGGCACGCTCTAAGCGCCCGGTGCTCTATCTTTAGAAAACGATGGACAGCCGGAGATAGTCCAAGCGGTCAATAGCCGTGGCCGGGGCGTGCCATGGGAGGATTGGCAGTGGTAATGTAATGGACTTAGTAATATACTAAAGAGTTGAATTCGGATCATCACGATCAAGCATCAACGAAGGTTGATGGGAGTGCTACTACTATAGTTATGATGATAAGCAGCGTGGGTATATCCCAGCCACAGCCAGCTTAATTAGTAGGAAACAACTCACACATATTGAGCATGGGCCAGCTGTCGACACCCGCAGGAAAGCACAGAAAAGGGAAATCCGGTCCGCATACAACTCCGAACGGCAAACTGAAAAGGGAGATGGATAGTTGAGTCACCCGACCAGCATGTCGACGTCGAAAAAGATGGTCACAGCAGGGAGGATGATGAACTGGACAAGACACGACTGGTGGATGGCCAGTTGCCAGTTGGAGGGACCCCGTGACATGCATTGGGCGCGAGTCTCGACCGGGTGTTCAGGCACCCAGGCCCCCACCGGGCTGCAGCCAAGGTCTCCCCCCACGTGCAATTCAGGACCCTAGCCCTTATCGGCGGGCAGCAGATTTCCCATTTGGGCACTCCGGAGGGATTGAACTGACGTCGACAAGGCAAAACTGAGAACTGAAAAAATGGCGGTGATATCAACATCCGCTGCTGACTTATGGCTCGTTGCCCTTTTGGCCGTGATGGAGTCTCCATCCATTATTTGTTCCATCCCCATCCTTGATATCCACTCCCGGGTGTGACCCTCTCCCCCCCCTTTCACCGGCCCCTCGTTCGTCGGTGACCCGTCATCAGAATAATTGTCCGTAACTATAAATCCGGTGCCCCTCCACTTCTTCTTTCCATTCATCTCCGGTGATACCGCATCGTACCGAATCCTAATAAATTCTAACTCTGCTTCCTTGGTCCCAGAACTAATTGACCTACTATCTCCCTCCCAATTCACCTCCTCTTAATCCACCCACCATGTCCCCGCCAGCTATCATTGCTCCCTCCATCCTGAGTGCCGACTTCGGCACCCTGGGCAGCGAATGCTCGACCAAGATTGCCCAAGGCTCCGACTGGTTGCACGTCGACATCATGGACGGCCACTTCGTCCCCAACATGACCTTTGGTGCCCCCGTCGTGACCAAAATTCGCTCCCATGTTGCCCGTCCCACCGAACCCAACGGCAAGGGCACCTTTGACTGCCACATGATGATCCAGGAAGTGCGTCTGGCCTCTCTTCTTCCTCCTACCACTATTTATACACTCCAATGACTTCTATATACCTCAATGACCTCTATGCTAATCCCCATACAGCCCCACAAATGGGTCAAGGACTTCAAAGACGCCGGCTGTGATCTTTACTGCTTCCACTACGAAGCCGCCATTTCCTCCACCGCCGCCACCAGTCCCGCCGACAACACCACAACCACCAAGACCAGCCCCAAGGACCTGATCCGCTATATCCACGAGGAGGGCATGCAAGCTGGAATTGCCATCAAGCCCGATACCCCCGTCGACGTGCTCTGGGATATCCTGGCGAATGAGAACGAGAAGGAGCGTCCGGATGTGAGTGATCCTACATCCCCATAACCCATAACCCAGTCTTTCTTGGCCCTCAGCACATGTTTGCGGAGCATACCCCCACATAAATCAAAAAGTGGTGCATGGTTAAGGTTTAAGCTACGGAGCAACAACATGCTAATGCTGTCTATCTTGGCGTCTTACAGATGGTCCTCGTCATGACCGTTCACCCCGGGTTCGGTGGTCAGAAGTTCATGGCCTCCGAGCTGCCCAAGGTCAAAGCTCTGCGGGAGAAATACCCCAACCTCAATATCGAGGTGGATGGTGGCTTGGGACTGGGTACTATTGATCAGGCTGCTGAGGCTGGCGCCAACGTCATCGTTGCGGGCTCGGCCGTCTTTGGCGCTCAGGATCCCGCCGACGTCATCGCTAAACTCCGCGAGACTGTCAACAAGTATCGCAAGGAGTAAACCGAAAAGAATAATTATAATAATGAAATAAATAAAACAGAAGAGGGGGAGGGGGGAAGGAAACCATAAACAAAAAGTTTCTTCGGTTCATGTGATACGATTTTCGTTGCGATCGCTCGCATTTCTATTTGTTCTGTTCGTTTTCTAGCTTCTTCCTGGCGCCTTACAGAATTTTTAATGTTCCCTTTTTCGGGTGTTTTCCCTGTCGACATGTGATGAGCGAAAAGGGTCAAAGAGTATTTGATCGGTTACGGGCGGACGATGCGCGTTCAGGCATATTTAGAAGGTTATGGGTTGGGTATACGGATCAGATAGAGCAGGTAAACAGCGGGATCATCAACTGTGTATGTAATGGGCAATGAGTCCAGTTCGAACATATACAAGTTTGAATGCAAATTACAAAGAAAGAAATCAACAAGCAAGCAACAGTGAAAGCTGGTATCTTTACAGGGAAGGAAGAGAAAAGGTAAGAGTCTCGCGATAACCGAAAATAGGACGCTGAGTCGTATTCGTCGTCTCGAAATGAATGCAACCGCAACCCCGGCCGTTGACTTTGGCAGCCCGCGCTTTCTGTCGACCGGGGTCCCATCCTAGGTTTTTTCACCACCACCACTCTACTCTTCTTCGATCGTCTCCTCCTGATCTGTCCGCGCCGCATTATCTTCTCTCAAGGATTTGAGAAGATCCTGTTGACCCCCGGAAATAGACTTCCGCAAGTCCTGTGCAACTTTTTCCTGTTCTTCTTTGGATGTGGCGGAGATGATGGAGCCACGGTGGTGCTGAACCATTCCTAAAGCTTCAGCAGCATCAGCATGAAAATTAGCAGACGACTCTGCAGCTACCTCGGGCACGAGAGGCGGCCGCTTAGGCTTGCTAGCCTGAGCATCAGGAGCAGCCTCGTTCCCACGTACAGTATCTTCCTTGCCTGCCTGGGACTGCTCGCCAGTGGCAGGGGTCTCTTTCGGAGTCTCTTTTTGTTCTGTAACTGCCGGAGCGGGTTCCTTGGCCGGGGTAGCTTCCTTAGCCGGGGTAGCTTCCTCAGCCGGGGTAGCTTCCTTGGCTGGGGCAGCTTCCTTGACTGGGGTAGGTTGAGTGCCGCTGCCCTTAGCCTTGGCAGCGGCCTCCCCGCTAGCCTGGCGCATAGCGGCCGTGATGGCAGTGTCTTTCGGGGTCTCTTTGGACGGGGGGCTCTGAATCTTGATTGTGCTTTGTTTGAGTGTAGTTGGTTCGGGGGTAGGGGTAGATGCGGCCGAGGGGGGTGCGATCGGAGTACTAGTTGCGGGAATACTGTCGATGTCTTCGACACTGTTAACCTGCATCCTCAGCTCACCATACTCATTCCATTCTTCGACTTGCTCCAAGTCCTGTTGTCTGAAGTGTTAGCTTGTAGTCCCCAGTATATGTTGTGCTTCCCTCGCTAGTAGCCACCTAGCCTCTCTGTGATGGGATAAGGGAGGGATGCGTACTCCGACGACAGTGCCAAATTTCACCAAGCCAGGAAGCTTCTTGCCCTTGGAGCGACGGCCCCAAAGCTTCCTGGCTACATCATCCGTGGCCACATCGATTGCGCGGAAGGGGAGCTTGTTGGCTTTGAGAATCGTCTCCAGGCGTGCCGTTGCGGTGACGATATGGGACGACCCCGCAGTTAGGGAGGTGTAGAGATAGAGGGTGGGATCAGACATGTTGAAATACAAAGGATGAATTATCCGGTCGTCGGGGTGAAAAATGAGAAATTAGATGGTGATGGCGAAAGAGAGTATATCGAACGGAGAGAGTGAGGGAAGTAGTAGGGCGAAAAATGAGGGGAAGAAGACAAGGATGACGATCGCTTTTGATGGAGGCCCGCTTCCCCTATTGCAGCGCGACGGCGCGCCTTCCCGATTGTTCTCTTTGAAAGGGGCAGAAAAGTGAGGGAAATGCGCTTCACCGCCGAATGACGTGGCTTCCTGAGGCCCAGACTGGTCACGTGGAATGGTGGTGGTCCATGCAGCTTCGAATAGATTGGAGAGAGCGTAGTAGTAAGTACTTAGTAGAGAGTGAGGAGCTCGATGGGTGAATTGATTTGACCCGTAGGTGAGAATGATCACTAACAACAAGATTGGGCTAGGAAGGAGAAGGATGCGGCGCAAGAGGCAAGAGCCGACCCTATATACTAGTTCAATGATTACAGACTAATGTCGTGACAGCCTCTTGCAATTGTGGGGGATCTGATTCCAGGGTGGCAATCTGACGTCAGTCCATCCCTCTGGTCCATACGCGATGCCCGTAACTATCTCCAAAGAATGGTCCTTTCTTCCTCAATTATGCACCGACTACACGCACAGCCATATCCCTCCACTCTTTTCTCGGTACCATCCGACCTTTTCTCCACCTTTGATCGGCTGCTTCCAAGATATTTTCTTCGCAACTTTGCCTGCGCTATGGCAGGCCCCGAGTTATCGCTGCGGAAGAAAAGTGGGTGCAATATTCAACTCGCAAGATAAGTGGCACGTCTGATGTCACGGCTCCATTGATCGTACAGGGCCCAAAAGTGAGCTATCACAGTTCCAACGGCCCATGACTTCATCGTGTAGCTGTTCGCCAGCTCTTTGGCAAATCTTCTAGCGTTGTTTCTGAACTCACTTATCTCGATTTATTTCCATTGAGCGCCGACTACAGAGTTCGCCAGGATTCGTATTTGGTCCGCATTTGTTGCATATGTTCAGTGGCTCCGACTGTGATGCAATTGGAGAAGAAGCCAACGATCATCTGATACTCCTCAACGCCTGTTTGATATGGTGGTATGATGTTGCGCAATGACCACATAGCTACGCCGTTGAGGAAGGCTTCGAGAATGGCTGCAGAACACTATACTACAGGGATTGGAGCTACTTTGTATAAAGTACATGTAGAAGGTGGCGAGGTGGGACTAGTTGGACGTCAAATTGCTACTAAAGTACGCCCCTGTCAGATCGACAATCCCACAAAACTTGATGTTTGTCGCACACCATAATAAATCGGCCCTTTATCACACAGCCTTTGATACGGTTCGGTCAGATCGTCTCTTTTATCATCACTTACAGCCGGTGTCTCTCACCGGACTTGCCTCGTCATCAGCTTTCGGACGAGCCTTCTAGGCACCCACCCTTTACGAGTAGCACAGCTCCTGTAGTCGTGCAGAGGGCCGCTTCATGTACCGTGAAGTGCTTCGTCAGTCCAAGTGGCAATGGACAAAGACCTGATATCATGTATATCTCGGGCCGTCGAAATGGTGACAAGAACGGTTCTATATATTTCAATGTGTTATAATGGCACCAATCTCCCCAAACTGCTGCAGTCAACGTCTTCAAATTGGACATGTCCTTGACATGATGAAATCGAGGACCCCAGATCAATCGTGATGTTCCCGCCACGAATTATCTATGCAATAAGGGGGACCACAAGTATAAAGCGGATTATCGTTTCCATGAACTAAGGTGTCACGGATTCGGTATCGAAGGGGAGGAGCTTTCTGTCATGAAAGAACTCTCCATTTGCCCCTTTGAAAAACTTGTTCGAACGGGCAAAAGGCGGAGTTTCGCGATGATTGTTATGGGATGATGACAGGGCAAGGTCTTATCGAAATGCAAGAGACTTATGAACCCATGCAACAGCAATAGTCAGCTCTTCAAGATGCTTTCCTTAAGAACCCGGTATGTCTGGGCAACAAGTCGCAGCGAGATCGCTTCATGAAATGGGTTGCCTTCAGAATTGCCCTGCGGGAACTAATTGTAGGCCTGGTCTTTGTGTTATCAAATGTAAGTTTTATTCAAGCAAACCTTCGAGTTTCAACAAATCAGGCTGGTCCAATTTCCCGAAGCCAGAGTTCCAGCAGCAATTGGATTTATCTTATGGAGATGGCTCGAAGCATTATTTCTAGTACTAACTACAGTCAGAGCTGCCTGACGGAGAGGCCTGGTGATGACTACTCCGATGGTCCTATCCGACGTACCTGCCAACTTTTTACTCTATCACCACAATCTGGAAAGACCACACTCTACGCTGTCACCACTCCATCATCCGTGGTGACCGCTCTAAGGATGAGATCCTTAGTCACGAAACACAATACTGCAATAGTGTATCTTTGCCTACCGAAGAGGCCGTGGCAATTCGGATCGATACTGGCTTGGATGAGATGCAAAGATAATGTGGCGCAGGAGATGGCGAGATCGGCGCGGTGGCAGGAATGCTCCATCAAAACTGCGTTGTAAAAGAGACACTTTCGCGAAGACAAGCGAGAATAGCCGGTGGCTGCTCCATAGTCGCTTAAGTCAAAAGGCCGGTACCACTTTTTCAGACTCTTGCAGCCCGTACGTGGTTGAGACTTACTCGGCGTACGTTATACCCATCTTACTAGCTACATCGATCTGCAAGGACCTATCTGACAACGAGCGCTGACAAGTCCAGCCTAGAGATGCGCCATTTGGCGTTGGAACGGTGCATCGCCACAGCCACTTGGACGAAACAAGGCACAGCGGTTAATCCTTCAGACAATGCAAGGCTTAGCAACGAAGCAGCAAAGCAACGATTGAGGAAGTCAGGCTATCCACAAATCTTCGACTTGTTCAGCCGCGTCATCAGGATCTCTCATTGTCAGATCCAATCACAGACACAGATGCTACGCAGAGCATTAGAATCTCGTTGCCTCTGGCGGTCATAGCACCCATTCACACAAGGACAACGAGCTAAAACTCGGCCCAGCGGTTGGCTAAACGCCGTTCCAGACTCGGCTCTGAAGGACGCCCAGGCCTGCCTGCGGCGAGCTCTCCGAAACTTCGTGAATCGCACGTATAGGAAGTGCTTTTCAACTGCCAATACATGGACGAATCAGCCCAGGCAAGGATATCTGGTGTTCGTATCAGCATGGACCAACCGGCCAGATCGATGGTGAACATACAGGGCGTTCAGATGCCCTGGCTAACCGAGTCTACGCAGTCCCAGCCAGTTGGTGGGCTTCATGAGATCTCACACACCGAGGGTAGATCTCGCCTCTTCTGTCCCGTTTTCCAAGCCATTATCGTTGCCCGAATCTCAAGTCCCAGCCCATAGCCTGACTCGGTCACATCTGAACAGGGATCGAGTAAGGCAGAAAACTGACTAATAAGACTGGTTGGGCATAGGCGGCAGCCGTTTTCCGAATATCCCAGCGATGATGTTGTCATAGTGGTTTCAAGTAAGATGATAAGTTTAGCCTTTTGGCGGAAATGAGGTGGGCGTTGGTGACCTAAGTAACTAAGTGCAGTGACCTGAATCCTTTTTGGCCTTCGGCGTTTCTATGGGATGGGCGGGTGGCCCAACAGCTCCGGCCTCAAATCTTAAATGATTCGCTGTCAGTTGCAGTTTGCAGATAGCGCCAACCGGGCGTCCCATGGAACCTTCCAAAGTTCGGTAACTGTCCCACGTCTACGTAGTTAGTAGATACTTTTCCCCTTTCGACCCGAAAATTTAAAATGGGAGAAACAAAACAAACAACAATCGCCAATTAACTAATTACTATTTTCAGGGATCAGAATATCAGATTTGGAAGGTTAGTAGTTCAGTAGTTTGGTGTGACAACTGCCCAAGTCAGGCATTCGCTAAGAGAAAGAGGGGGAATCCATCCTTCTCTCATCTCATCTCAACCCAAAACCTTTCTTCCCTGCTTTTTCCACCATCAACCGGCAGCACACTGTATGCGCATCCTGCATGGAATCACAGATGGTACGAACTAGTGGACCACCTTGAAAGCCTTTTCCAGCCTATCATCCCACCCCCTTCAGGGAAATTGGACGATCACAGAACGTCTAGCGGACCCGCCGATCCCCTTGCCCATCGAATAGGGGTGCTTTGCTACCACCGACCATGACGCACACGGAATAGCGCCACGCATCTATTTTTGTCCCATGTCGTTTTCTCTTCTTCTTTCCCCTCCCTTTCCATCACCATCACCATCTCTTCTCCAGACAACTGCCCGGCTGATCGGGCAAGGTACACGAAAGAAAAAAAAGTACGTACCTGCGTACGAGCATAATCTAAGAAGCAGGCAGGCAGGCAGGCATCGATGAAAATTGACGCCCAGCTGGCTTCACTACTTACACCCTACGACAAACTAAAGCGTATGCCTAAGACTTATCACAATGCATTGGTGTGAAAAACAAGTTGTGAGCGCAGCGAAAAAAAGCCAGCTAGTTTAGTTAGTTCCATCATCTTGTCATTTGATGCCAGCCAGCCAGCCAGGAGGACCGTATGATCTCCATCCCTATTACTCTCCATGTACTTTACGGTTGTACTCGAGTTGCTTTCTATTCATTGTCCTCAATGATATGCATTCTCTCTTTCCGGTAGCCGAGTCATTTCCGCTGCTCCGTGCTCTAGCAAGACGCCGCCGTGCTTTTTGTAAAATTGTCGCACTATTGCATTTTTTCTTTACCTGCTTCCAGTGTGGCTATTAATGGTTTGTTGTCATCCGTTGTTCCGGTCTTAGTTCTATATCTGGTAGTTAGGTAGGTAGGTACTTAGTTATCTTCCTCCACTTTGTGAAAGACGGGCCAGGAATAGCATTCCTTTTTGGGTCGTAAACGGGATTAGTAGATACTGAATGGAGTTCTCGCTTGATTAGTACAAAGCTAACAGCTCACCGGATGATTAGGATGTCACTCAGAGCTAGCAAGCAAGACTGATGTTCGTTATGGAGGTGTTATCACGTGGTATCATGTTGGGATGATGGTGAGATTCTTAGTAGGTTAACGTTAGTAGTTGTAAGGTCTGTAAGCGGGGATGCTTGGTACTCATGACTTTTGTGGTATCAGTTCGATTAGTAGTAGTTTACTACTACTCTGATCATGATGCTACCACTGGTGTCCGCTTGCTTTGTGGTGTGGGTGATTGAATATGATCATGATGTACTGCTGGTCGTATATTTTAGGAGTCCTAACCACTGCGATAGTATCTTTGCAGTTAGTGTTACTGGTACTACTAGATCCTATCAGTGGTAAGCACTACTGTGTTGAATATATATACGATCTAAAGCGAGAGAATCTCGTTGTAAATTGAACAATGTGCTATCGCACCAGTTTTGGCTGCTGGCAACGAATTTTATCTTGCAAAGTAGCTGAGTTGGTGAAGGATGTAACCTGTGTTGGAGTGATCGGACGATTAGGAAAATGGTGGGGATGGGTAAACTGAAGCGGGATGAAGCCAAGAGGGGCAGAATGGCAATGACGCAGTTGCGCAAAACTCTTCGCCGACATGGCTCGACGCTGCTTAAGAATCTTGAAGAGATACAGCGATTCCAATACTTTATCGAATTTCTCCCTCACTTATCGTGGGGTTCGCTGTAGGTTATTCACTACGAATTGCCCTCGGTGTCTGGACGCACTCGAGAGGCACCAACTCTCCAGACCGACAGAACAGAAGTTTCCCGGGACATGAAAATATGGTAACGAAGAAGCCAAGTTTGCCACCGGATTTACTCCGTAGAGATGGTGATAATTTCCTTAGTCGCTTCCCCTCAATACAGTGTCTAGATTGAGGACGGAGTGGTGAATGCGTGGGAAAAGTGCATGACTCACGGGTTCAACTCAATACCCCGCTGTTGCTCATACCGCAACGGTGTACTCCGTTCTGCCGACCAGAGAGGGCCGGAAATTCGACTGTCTTCGAGAATCGGCAAGAGGGGGATTTCCTGGAATATTCCTCCACCCGCGCAGATTGAGCCGGAGACAACGGTGGAGTAGCAACTCTGCACACGAGTATCCCACGTAGTCCCTGAGTTTCCTGGCTATGTTTTCTTCATTCTCGAAAAGACACTATGAGCGCCGTCGGTGATTGGCCCGAGCCATGTTCAGACACGATAGCCGGTTCCAGGAACGGCGCTTTACCCGTTTGGGGACACACTATGGGCTTCTACGGTGCAGTAGTCGGTCCATAGTGGTCACTTCCACCCCGTAGTATCGTCATCGCTTTTTAGGCCTCAAAAAGCGGTGACTCTGCAGTGGGCTCGCGGTGGGTGCTGAAAGTCTGAAACAACGGTGGAGGAGCGGTTGACCGCCAAAAGCGCTTGCCTTCGGTGAGAGCATGAGGGGAGCGCGTTCCTAAGCCTAAGCCATCATGATCTGGTTAGCTTTATCATCGTGTTGGCAGGGTGGAGGTGAAACGCCAGCACATAGACCACTCCATCCGCAGCAACCCTTAGTCACATACAGCGTTCCTCGACTAACTAATTGAGTAAGTAGTAGGATGGGCTAGTCGATCCCATGGACCAACTGTTCTTCCTATCCCACCAAGGGTGACGATGAGCAGGCAAGCTGTTCTCGTTCTCAGCAGCAACTTGTCAGTGGTCTAGTCCTCATTGAGAAAGAGTCACGTGTAGCACGTGATTACCAGCCGTCCTTCCTGCGTATTGGGCGGCATCTTCATCCGCCCCACACACTCCCCTTCCCCAAATGATCGGTCCATCGTCGATAGTCTTGAGATCGTCCGGTCACGGCGCCAGAGGAAGATCCGGGAAATATTCTAGCAGCTGGATTTACGAAAGATTTTCGTCACCTCTCCGGTACGGCGCTCCATAGCCACCATACCCCTAGGAACCACAGTGGTCAGACTGTCAGCAGTCCGTGTCAATTAGTTACCTGATCGAGCTCGTGTCATTCTTGGACGGCCATGTGCAGACAACGCCGGCCAAACCCTGGGTGTCTTCCGCGTGGTACCGCGGGTTGGGCCCGGGGGGCTGTACCCAGGTTACTGCCGCTTGCCTAAAGATGCTATATACCATAACCACGGGCTTCTTCTTTCGCACAGTCTAAGGGCACGAAGAATGGGATGCCTGGGGTCGACAACAAATCCTGTTGATACCCAATTGCCCCTGGAGTTTGCCCATCTAGACTCCAAAGTGTCGTGTCCAGACACAACATAGAGGAGGTTTGTGCTCAACTGTTCAGGAGATCTTACTTCTCTCAGTTATTCTGCTGCCGCGCCTGATACGACAACAAGCGACCGCGATAAGGGACAACTTGAGTTCCGGCTGGCTCGTCATCTGCAAGCGCATCACCAACTGACAGAGGAGTAAGACCAACTAGAGTTGGCCGTGACGAGCATTGTGGTAGTGTAGGAGCATGTACGGAGTATGGGGACGAGAAAAGCCCGAACGGGTGTAGCCTGACATCGACGTGGCAGCCGTAGAGTCGAGGGGGGAAAGGTGGTTGACTTCCCGGGTGCTTTGTACGGAGCAGACGGGCGCAGGTGGCCTGCCACTGACCACCAACCGGACCGTTAGTACATTGCTCCGACGCAGTAAGCCACTGCTGGTGGGAGGAGGATTACTACACTCAGGTACCTCAACTTGGAGTCACTGTTTCTACCTTAGCCTCAGTAGGTACCTGAGGCCGGCGGAGCCACTGCTGGGAAACAGGCCCATGATTCTTTCAAGCCCATGTACCGCCGTAGGCGCTGCAGCAGACGGGGTACAGCGTCTCAAGTCCAGCGGAAATGGGCTGGTGCAGCCAGTCCCCATAATAATCAGGCTAACACAGGACTCCATAGGGGAGTTGGTCGTAGTAGTCTCTCGCCCGTAGTAGTAGTGACAATAATAATCCCGTGCACATAACCCATCATAACCACTCGGATGACTGATCATGGGCCTCCAGCGCAGCAGGTGCTTTTGCTGGTCCGGGTCGATGACGATGGAATCCGTTTCGCTGCCTCACTTTGGGGCACACACCGTGTTTGTCCGTCCACTGCGACTCGTCCGATCGATGTGTCTAACCCGTTGCAAGCAGGTCCATTCGGGCCTCTGTTGAACAGTCAGCGTGTCACCCTCCCCTTGACCTTTCCTGGTAGGTCTAGTCCTGACTTGGTGGTGGTGTGTCTTTTTTTTCCTGACTGAGGACCGTCATAGGTAGAGGCGGGACTGATGATTTCTGGTCTGCTGGACGTGGGTTGGTCGTCGTGCTCTGCTCCTTTTCCTCCTTCCTACCTTACAGTGCTTAGTGTGCTTTTCATCTCTCTCTCTCTCTCTTTTTTTTTATTTTTATTTTTTTTCTCGGCTTTCCCATTCTTCCATTCCCCCAGAAAAAGAATAACTAATCCAGACGGACACTGGTTAGTACTGACTTGAGTGGTCTCTTCTCTTTTTGGCACTAGCGCTCTGATCACCATCTTCGGCCCAGACGGTGAATCGATTTCCCCCTCCTCCCTCCTTCTCTTTCCCCAAAAATTACAACAATAATAATTATTTTCTTTTTTTTTTCTTTTTCGCTTTTGATTTTTTTGATTTCTTACCTCTTTTACTTTTCATTTTGGCTAGCTCACACCCTTCCCCCCCTCTTCTTCATCCTTATACTTATTCCATATTGGGAAATGGTAAAAAAGAAATGAGGGACAAAAGAAAATACGGAAAAAGAATAAAAAGCATAGAAAAAAATCAACATAAAAAAAAGTCAAAATGGGAGATCAAAATGGGGAAAAACAAGATCATCAAATGAGAACTAAAGGAATAAGTAATGCCAAATCGAGAAAGAAAAATAATAATACATCCATTCTACTTTCTACCTAACTTTCTCTCTCCCCCCCAAAAAAGTTGCGACAGATCCTGGCCATCCCAAGAGGGTCTGGACTCATCTGGGAGGCTTCCAAATCCCTCCCTCCATCTTCCCATCCCCGCCCAGTTTCAACCTCTCGCGATGGGCGATGAACTCCCTAAACTAGCCTGCAACTACTGCTTCTCCTTCTGACGGATCTTTTGTTCGCTCACGCTCGTTCCATCCATTCGTACCTTACCCATCTTCCCCTTCTCTGCCTTCCCTCCCCTCCTCCCTCTGGCTTCTCTGCTTTGCTCCTAATCCATTCTCACCTTAGTTTCATCCTCGACCCTCTCCGGACCATTCGACCAACCCGGATGTGGGGATGGTGGATGCTCCATTTAATTGATAACCTCTTCCCACCTCATCTGCCTCCTCGTTCTTTATCGTTATCGTCATCTTCCTTGTTAACATCCATCTGGCACTTCCCCATTGTTCTCTTACTCCACCGCGCCTTCATATATCTCCTCCCCCCATCTCTCTCTTACTCTCTCATTCCTCCCTCTTCTTCATCTCATTCAACAATTTTCCCTTCCCCATACTATCTTACCTCACACGACCCCCGTCTATCTTATCTGTACCGGCCTTGCTTTCTTCTGCCGTGTACTCCTCTTTACACTTCACTGCCTGCCCCATTTATCTTAGTATCGGGCCTATTCTCTACTACACTCCATTTCTATACTCCAGTCAGTCTTCCTATCTCGTTGCTCGGGCGGGCAAGCCACCAAGAGTTTCTCTACCCAATATATACTGACCGCGCTAGCTCCAGAGATCCTCCTAAACCCCCGAAGTCACTTGATACTGATAGCAGCACCCCCTCCTCGCTCATCCTACGTGAGAAGAGGCAGCACTCAGCGAGGACTTCTTCACCCATTATGGCGGGCACCATGGCCGACGACGAACTCTTCACAAGGGCCATCTCTGGGTATCGGGACGCTTTCTTGGATCGACACTCCCATCTTCCGGAATCAGAGCGAAACGAACTTTGGAGTCAGCGGTTAAGTCAGTTCATGACCACCACGGCCTCTTCTTCCATATCCTCTGTCGCCTCATCCAGTTACCGCCCGGTTCCCGGTTCTGGTCTTCCTGAAGATGGCGGTGCGGCTCTCGAGAAATCTGGGAAACGGTTACGACAGGATACCCCCCGGACCCTACCTGGTTCTGGTCTTCCTCCACCGAAACGACGAGTCACCGTATGTGATCTATCTTGGTCTTCTGCTCCCGCCTCTCCTGCATACCTGCGTTTCTACCCATCCTGTCCCTCCCGCGCTATTCTATGATCTTCTTCTCTTCTGTCATCTCCCGCCAACAGTCCTTGGATTGACACTTGGCAGACTCCGGAACCTCCAGTGACCGTTGATTTGACGCGGGAACTGTCCCATGCGTCTTCGCCGGCGGCCCCTGAGACTACTCGACGCCTCTCAAGAACGAATTCTCGGAAAGGCAGCTCGGTCTCTTACTCTGGTCCTGGACCCTCCTCCCGGCATACGGCTATGGTCCGCTCGCAGAGTCAGCAGATACCGGTTGCTCACCGTCCGTCGCTGACCACCCCTGCAACGGGATTTCGGCACTCCTATGGGCCCCAGCGTGTGCAGCGCCGCCTTGACCATGTCAACGAATACACGCCCTCCGAATACGCCAAACAGTACTTGGATGATTTCCAGGGTCAGGGACACGTCTCGGCACTTTCTATGGCGCTTTCTGCGGATGCGACGATGTCTGGACTTCGACAAGAACCCCAGCTGAATCAGGGCCAGCCTGACTTGATGACGACGAACTTTGCTGCCATGTCCAACCCTACCATGGTCGAGCAGCCGGTCCTGCCGGCTGCCGTGGAAATGAGCAGGAGTACCACAACGGACTCGCTCTGCGGAGGTTTGGGAATGATGAGATTCGATTCTTCGGGGCCGAATCTGGACTCCAATTTCTCATTTTCCGTCCCCTCTGAATTCGTCACCTCCACTTCCCCCATGAACGTCCCCTTCCCTGCTTCCTTCTCATCTATGCACCGACACCCAAACCCCGAAGTCCCCCTCACATTCACTGAGCCTTCTGGCTCGATGTCGTTTTCTTGCTCCGCTCCATCCTCCACATCCTTCCATCCACCCATTCCTACCCTTTCTCCATCTACTGCGACGGAGATGAGGCCTTCTATGTCTGTCGAGAGTGACAGCTCGTCTCTCTCCCAGCCATCTAGGGCGGCTCGCAGGACCCAAGAACAAATTGTTCAGGGTACTCGACCCATTGCTCCTAAAGCCGAGCCACACAGCAGCTCACCCCCCAAGGTGGCCGAGCAGCATAAGATGATTCGCATCTCATCATCGGATGGTACTGCCAAAGAAGTTGCAGCCATTCCCAAGGCCTCGATCCAACGGCCCCCACGTCCGAAGACGTATTGTAACATGTGCAACGACCAGCCGGATGGCTTTCACGGAGAGCACGAGCTGCGTCGACACATTGAGCGGGTCCATGCTGTTGTTCGCAAGGTTTGGGTTTGCGTTGACATTTCTCCTGGCAAGACATTCCTGGCCAACTGCAAGGCTTGTCGGAATGGGAAAAGATACGGTGCTAACTACAACGCCGCCGCTCATCTTCGTCGCACCCACTTCAACCCGTGCCAAAGAGGCCGTGGTGGTCGTGGCAAAGACAGTGAGAAGCGCGGCGGCAAGGGCGGTGGAAACCACCCGCCCATGGATGTCCTGAAGCACTGGATGGTGCAGAAAGAGGAGATAGTCCTCGAGAATGCCCAGAACTATATTGACCAGGATGCACTAGGCGATGACATGGTGGCTGCTCCGCCTGTGGCCTCCGAGGATGTTACGTTCTCTGGATTGCCGCAGGCGTCGGTCGAAGACATCTCTTCCCAGGGTATGGACTCGAATTTAGTGAACGGATTTGAGTCCTTCACAGCGATGCCGACGATGGTCATGGACCCGTCGATGGATGCTGCTCCCTGTTACTTCGATTCTCAAACGTTACCGCCTGAGATCGATTCGTATGTGTGATTGTATAAACCCCAGCCCAGCGGCTGATCGCTTTCTCGTTTACCTTCCTGAGGGCTTGAGACTAGATCCTTGGTTACTCATGGGTTTCATGTTGATACTATACATCTTGAACCTTGCTTTTTATTGGAGCTGTTTCCATATTCTTCACATTGTGCACTTTTCGCCTACATTTGATGTGATAAATTTTCCACTGGCTTTTCTTTACTTCTTTTTTCTCTTTTCTTTCTTCCCTTTTTCCGTTCTTAATCTTTCCTCTTCTAATTCTCCTCCTACATTTCTTCTCTATCTCGTTTCCTTCTTCTTTCTTCTTTTTCTTTCAGTGATTCTTCTTCTTCTATCTTCTCTTCTCTTCATTCTTCGGACTCCAGAGGGCCGACAAAAGTCGACCTGGTGATGCCCTGGATGGGCGCTACGACATAATGTGTGATGATGAGCAGTCAATCAGCCAGTCTCAGATTCGTGAATATATTGATTTGGTGCACGTCGTGCATGAAAGCTACAGTCCTCCCGAGCACAAGCCTCGGGACTAGGGTATGAGGGGGAAGACCACTGCCGACTTTGCAGTACCTTTTTTTTTTTTTTGGTAACTGCAGCCTACTATTGCTAAAGGATACTAAGATGCCCAGGGACTTTGCTTGGTGATGCCACGGTGCGGGTGGCCGTAAGGTAGGCGGTGCTGGTAGGCGGTGACGCCGGGGCGTGGCTTTGTGCCGGCACGCACCTGACTGCCACGATGGTGGGCGCAGTGATTGGGCGCAATTTAGGGGTCTCATGAGCGCCGGGGCATGCAGTGGAACTCAGGGCAGCCCTCCTGCCAATGATGGCGGCGATCCTTTGGCCAGCCCAAGACGGTTGGCTGACAACTAACCTTTCATTCCCTGAGCCATCGCTCACGGGCGATGACGGTGGGGCGTAACTCCAAGCACCAGGGCGGTGATTGGTGGGCATGCAGTGCTCGCCCCGACCGCTGAAGGGGGCGCCCGACAGTTGTTCCAGGACAAATTTCCCAAATCAATCATAGCAGGAACTGTCGTGGCTGGTGCCTGGCGGTAACTGGGTCCTGTAGGGCTGCGCTAATGTGGCTGAGTCCAGGCGGTGCTGCGTACGAGACTTGTATGTACGTATTGTAATCATGGGCTGACGGTCCCTTTCGGTCGGGTAGGGAGAGAGCGGGCTCTCTCTCTCTTTCTCTTTCTCTTCTTCTTTCTCTTTCTCTTTTTGCCCTTTGAGATTACGACAGATGATCACTTAGTTCCAGAGTAGTACTTGTTTCGGATTCAATATTAATAATTTATCATCTTCTCTAACTCACTCATCTGTTGGCGTTTCCTGTTTCAGGCTGGGGAGACATGAGCGGCTAGGATTTTCTGGCGTCCTTCTAGTTGGGGGTGGGGGCGTAAACAGGATTGCACTACTGGTCACTATTGGCTCGTGGGACTCGGATTCCTGTAAGGTATGTTACGAAGGAAAGAGCAGGGAGTTGAATAGAGCGTAATTTTCTTATTAAGTGTCTCTCTGCTGGCTCGGTCTTCTGTGTCTGTCTGTCTGTCTGTCTGACTGACTGTCTTTCTTCTTTCTCATCCACCAACCAAAACCTTAAAGGTTGAACGGCGGCTCAGCGATCTTCTCCTCTTTCTCCGCCTCCTTTCGCCTTTCCAACCCCTAGCGATCGTTCCTTTTCCTGCTCTTCTTCTTCTTCTTCCTTCCCCCCCCCTTTCTTGCTTTCCGCTTTCCATCGACTCCGTTTAGAACTCGGCGTTTGTCTTAGGTATGCTTATCTCCCTTTTATTGGTCCACGCAAGGCTGGGCTTACCTTCCTCCGTCCACTCACTCTCCCTCTTCCTCTTTCTTCCATCGCTACCGTCCACTGCCAAGTTCACCACGCTGACCCAGTGCTACTTTTATTCCTACACACAGACTCTTTCCCTTCATCATGAGCGCTCCCGGATACTACAACGGCCCTCCTCCCCCGCCCCAGGCGTAAGTCTTCCGCCACTCCATTGCGCCCGATCTCCTGTGGTTTTTGCACCGGGCATTCGGATTTCAAGCGACCGCGGTGTGTTGGCTCAGGAACCCGTTCGGAGGGCTGGCTTGTCACCAAGCTCCTCGACGCCGATGTTTTTTCCTGCGCTTGCCAGCGGTCGCAGAGTCTCTCGTCAAACCATACCCCGGATTTGCGCATTGTTCTGACCCGGTCTCCGCACAGGTACCCTCCCCAGGGCTATCCGCCTCCGCAGGGTGGCTATCCTCCCCAGGGATACCCCCAGCAGCCCTACCCTCAGGTATGTTGATGCCAGTGTTATGTGCAGTCATGCGATCAACCTCTGACCGGACAGCAGATGCAATACCAGCAACAGCCTCCTCCCCAGCAGAAGGACCGCGGATGTCTCGGTGCCTGGTAGGCCTCACACCCTTGCTAGATTTTGTCGCGCCGCATCTTGCTAATCGTACTGTTTTACCTCTAGCCTGGCCACGCTCTGCTGCTGCTTCCTGTGCGAGGAGTCCTGCGAATGCTGCTTCGAGTGCATCGAGTGCTGTGAAATGTGTTAAGCTGTGATCGATTACGGGTGCTACCTCGAATGTAGCGAGGGCTGCGCGCGACCAACCGAGCCCTCACGATCGATATACGACCTCGACGATACGATAAATTCCCCTTTCATCGCGTGCTACACTAGACCGGTCGAGTCCAGGGGCGCCGGGAAGCGCTGCTGTGACAGCTGCAGTTGCTACGCGGTTTTTGTCTATTTTCTTGTTAATCTACCCATCGCGTTCCTGTTGCCTTCCTTCGTCGTGCCCCCCCATGGGAATTTTCTTCTTATCTATTTTCCTTTCTGTTCAATATGGTGATCCCGGAATATGTGTTTAGGACCCGGGGTGGTGCTTGGAACGGGGAGGGAGGTGAATCATCCTCTTTGCTTCATGGCGCTTCTTTAATTGATGACTTGTGAAATTTTTCTCTCTGCTGCATCGGCTGCCCCAGTAAATGTCATCATCTGTGATGTGTTCATCATCCGAGCATGGTACTCCACAATGTGATACACAGAGTAGACTAGATCTGAAGCAATTTTCCATTGAAGATCCTGAACATCTTGGCAAGAATCTGCGAGGAGGGACCTGCGACTCTAGTTTCCTTTCCGTCTGAGCTTGAATCCAAAGCCAAGCCCACCGCCAGGAAGCCCAACCAATAACGGTCTCTCCGATTGGTGGTACCGTTCAATCTGGCTGAGCGGGTTTCGCCTAGGCAGCCTTATAACTAATGCGCTGTTCCGATGCTTCTGGAGGAGCTGAGTGGCTGCCTAATTCACCCTGCAGGAGTAGTAGATCATTCTTTGGTCGATAGTTGAACGTCAGTAGATCGAACTTTCGCACTTGACGTAATTTTCATATCTAAGATGCTGCGCCACGTGTAGTAAGTACCATTTTGGATATATATACAGGGCTGTGAGTGTGGCTGTAGAGTGCATGAGGATTGAGTATGTAAAGAAAGGAAGCACGGCAGTACTAATTCACTCGTCGTTAGGACATGAACCGTCACTTGTAACGTTACTACTACTAGTACAGTAATAGAAGCGTACGTTTATAAATATTTTTTTCTACTCTACCAATCCCAAGTAGTAAGTACTAGTTAAAACTCAAATTACTATCCCTACTATTAGAAAGCCTCCATGTGTACTACAGAGGGTAGTAGCAACAATGTGTTTTTCATTTCGGTTTGCAGGTACTCCTTGGTTTAGATGAAGTCAAAGTAGAGATATCTTGTCTATGTTCGTGGGATCAGGTTAATTGATACTTGATCGACTCATTATTGGGTTGTGGGTGGCGGGATCATATTGGTCTGGCAGTGTGGATGCAATTTGTGCAATAAGATGGTTGGAGCAAATGGGGTAAGATCGTAGTGTTCTAGGGAGTGTATGTTTCTATATCATGTCCTTCTTTAATGGTAGAAAAGATGCAAGTTAGGGAAGAGATCTGCTGCACGAGCAATCCAAGGGCTTGGTCTTCAGCTACAGTTGAGGATATACTAGAGATCCTGTAGACTACATCCAATGTCTGTTCTGTTTCTTTAGGTATTGTTTAGCACTTTGTCAATATTGGCCATGCAGCAG